AAAAAAAAAAAAAAAGGAAGGGATGCCTAGAAAACTCATTCTCACCAAAACCAAAAGAAAATGAATTTCACCAAAACCAGGAAGTGGGCACGTGTGGGGGGCTGTGGATGGAAAATTAATTGCCAAGAAATGAATTCCAATCAAACATGTCATTTGGGTGGAAATTGTATTTCTTTTCCATTTTCCATGGAATTTTTGTTGAATCAAACAGGCCTAACAAAACTTAACTTGAAGAATAAAGTTGAGATCTGCAGTGACTCGAAAATGTATGTATAGCGTCCTTTAGACAAAGAACTCAACAACTCCTTTCTAAATTCTATGAATTTAGATTATTTATTCTCCAAAGAATGATTATTGCAATTTCCAATCATATGTACATGTATCAGCTTTTACAATATTATCAGAATGATTTAAATTAAAACTAAACTGTCAAATCATGGAATATAATACATAGGATTTGGAAGCTTAAATGAACGGTCAGAGATTGAGGAACCCAGTAAATCACTCCATTGATCTCCAGAGTTACCCAGTATCCTATACCCCTCTTCAATCATCTCATCCCTCTTCTGTGACTTATATAGAGTTGCTGTTTTTTTTAGATCCTCTGGGTTCCTGCACAATAGCAGCAGCATAGTTGATAGAGTCGACTCTAGAGTATTAACATTGACAACAAGGTTACAATCTTGTATGGCCAAATACCGCGTACTTTAGGTTACAAATAATGAAAGACCGTGCATGGCGCATGGCTCATCCAGAGATATCATATCAGTCGACATTATACAAGTTAAACAGAAGGAATGTGATGTAGAATAGATGGCCGAATGTATTTGTGCAACAATTGGATCGAAAAGGAAAAAAATAGTTATAACTGTAAAACTGTAGATTTGACGTCGAGCTCCGATTTGGACCCATAATACCTTTTCAAAAAGAGAACGAAGAGCCGGACTATTTAGGACTCGAAAACTGTTTTTAAAGTTTTAGTGCTATATTTGTCATTTAATTTATTTCGAATTATTTTCAATTTTAGTTCTTGTAGACTAGGTTTCAAAGTAAACCCTTATAAATAAAGGATTAATTCTTCGTTTTCGGCATCTTGAGTTAATAAAACTTTGTGAGTTTAATTATCACTCTGGTGGATTCAAGTTTTGATGTTTTTCAGGTTTTCGCTTGAATTTCTTATTTCGCTCTACGTTAGAATGAAATTCTAAAAATGGATCAAGATACAAAAACAATAATGAAAAGTTCGCGACAAAGGAGGCCCTCCCTCTAAGCTAAAGTAATCTTAAATGATGACTGCTTATAAGTATCATCTGTGAGCAAAATGGTGAAAAAAAAAAAGCAGATGAAAAAGTAGAATGTTTCTTTTTAGTCTCTAAGTTGATTTTGACAGAAGGAAATTGTTAAGAAAGTAATAGTTTGAAAACTAGGAAAAATACACTTCTAATCAAACCCCAAAACCCCGCCACAAATGAGGGACCGAGATTTGCTCTTTTTCACTATACTCACCTATGGCAATCAATTACTCAAACACCAAGATTTGGGATGCAATCCTTTTCTAAACCTTACCGGCCAATGAAAGAATTCTCTTTATTCGTCAACAATCGAGTAATAGTTTGAGATCCAAAATTCTATTTTATCATTAAATCAATCACGTTCAAGTTTTTTCGTTTTCTTATCAAATGAACGTCTCAAGTGTAATCCCACTCTTCATTTGTGGTAGATTGATAAAAAGTGGATCAAGCCAGGATAACATGACCTAGGCACAGTCCAAGAATTTTTGTAAATCAGCTCAAGTTTGTGTCAAACTCAGTCTGTGCAGAACATAAACTGAACCTTGCACTTCACACCCAATCAAAAACAAATCATAATGCTTTAGAACCTATGTGCTAACATTGATAATCACGAAACTGGAAACTTGCACGTATATTAAATATTAATATGCCACACAAGAACTCCTCATTGACGATGATTTTGAATACGAGTCCCAAAATCACTTAACGCTGGTGTAGTGTCTAACTAAATACACTCTAACAGTCGATGTAGTCGTGATTTTGTTTTAAGGTTCAACAGAAAGATAACGAAAATGCTTTGGAAGTATTTCAACAAAGTTTCAGTAATGCTGCATACATTATGTGAGTCAAGTATGTTGCTGGAATCACAAGTGCAAGCAAAATAAATAGGAGTCAGAGACCAAGAATAAAACTGAAACAACTGTAAAGAGTATCAAAAACGATAAAAGTATTCACGTTGTGTAGGGAGGAGGAAAATAGTTCAGGGGTTTGTTAAAAAATTCTAGGAAGAAATGCAACTGAGCCCCCAATGATAAAGCACTTATTTTTAGATGTGCCAATTATCTTATCTGTCTAGGTCAATGATAACAAAACTATGAGGGCTCAGGCTTTTTCTTAAGTTTTCTAAAACGTGGGATCATTCATTCGAGGGCAACTTTGTAGATAAAAAAATGGTTTAACAACCAATATTGGTCTATAATTCTTTTGGATCTTCGGATGATCCCGAGGAGGAAATGTATGATCACTCTTTGTCAATTGCATCAAATTCAAAGGACAAGTTTCCTGCATCATCTCAAGAAAGGAGGTTTTATGATTTGGTTTATTTACAAGTGGGGTTGGGATAGAGGAGGAGTAGGAGGTGGAGTATGAGAAAAATTTAGAGGCGGCAAAGATTTCATGAAAGCTGCAGAGGATAGAGGTGAAAGACAATGAATAGAAGGTAGAGGGCGGAGAGGAGCGGTAAGGAGATGCTGATGCAGTGGAATACATTTGATCTGGAATCTGACATTCAAGGCATTGTGGTGGAGTACGAGAAGGAAGAAAAACATGAGGAAGAACATTATAAGATTTTGGATGATGAATATAGTGATCAAGGTGATTTTGGACCAAAAAAGAAGCTCATGTGACAACTTAACAGGCCTTTTGATGGTAAACAGTAAAACAGATGAATACGCTACAGTTTTCCGGATCGGGAACCTAAAATCTAAGACACCTTTCTTATTATGAGGGAATATGGTTCTAACCATGCCAAAAGATTTCCTCATCTTAGGCCTACAATATATTGGAAACAGGGCTTGCTTTGTTGTTACATGACTAATAAAAATCAAATGAGCTACTTCTCACATCTCAGTGCTGGCACCACAATTGATTTACAATTCCAGAAGAACAGTAACTATAAATTCAAATTCTATCAAGGGGCCTTGCTCAATCATCTCCGTCAATATTTCAGTTAACAATCAAATTCAGCCTTTCTTACTGTACTAAATTAGCCTTTCCACGACAGTTTGAAGACAGAGTTTTGAAAATCTGCAAAGAAATGCCTTATTGTTTTATGAACAAGCATCTTTATTTAACATTGCTAACGCAATCAAAATGCCAGATGGGCCATGCCCGGCCTGGGCGGTTTGACACCCCTAGTCCTAGGTGCATTACATCAATAGAAACTCAGTGATAAAAATGACTTACAGCTAAAAGAATAAATGAATTCATATTTTAGCATAAGTTGGCAGTGGCTTCCAAATATTTGCCTCTGCATAACCAAATTATTACCTGAATATGTTATGTCTAAATGAAGGCTCATATGGAAATGCATTTGAAACAACAAATTGGGAGGCTAAATAATTTAAATTCAGATTTTACAAATATTCCTAATCTCAGTATTTCAATACTTCTTTTCGTGTCTTTATTTCAGCACAGACTATGCAATTATCTCATGACGAATTATTCTCATTGAACTTGTCTATTGTATCATTTCCGGCTTTCTACAACTTATAACAAAACAAATGCATTTTCAAAGTAAATCAAGAATTATTATCAGTTAGTTCTTTAAAAGAGCCTCAGTGAAGTGTCACAGACCTAAAATTTCATGAAAATCTAAAAATTAGTTCCTCCTAAATGGATCAAGAAACCGGCATGTCCTGAAATTGTATTTGAACAATATAAATACTCACCTCAATATGAGCTTATCCCAATCATGAAATCCGACCTTGATCAAATTATAAGTCGTAATATTTCTATGCCTTTCACTTCTACCAGTCAGCAAGATAACTTTGAATCCCAAGCTTAAAACCTCTTCATATAGCTTTAAACTGGATTTTATAGCAGGTGCAATTCCATTTTCAACCCATTCATCAAACTTCATACAGTCAAAAATCTCCAACCTACAGAGTGCCAAGAAAATCACATAAGATTAGAACCAACATCAACTTGAAGCAAATTTGAATATAGTCCAAGAATAATTCCATTTACTCAAATCCTGAAAAACAGATTTCACAAATACCCATTAATCAAATTCTTGCTATACCCAACGGCCAACTCCAAGCAAATTTGAATGAAATTGAAAGAATAGATAATTAAAAGTGAATCAAATTCTACACAAAGTCCAGAGTTACTACAGTTACCTCAAATTGGAAATATAATTCCAACAAAAGTTTTAATAAAATGCAAAAGCAATTTGTCAAAAAATCAGACAAAGTTGAAATAAGATTCCAATCCATAAATGATCAAATCTTAAATAAAAAAATTATACCCATGACCATGTTCTGCATAATAGGGAAGATTGGATAGAAGGGTTTCATCCACATCAAAAATCCAAGCATCTTTCCCATCTCCTTTTAACTCCACACTTCTTGCATAAATTTCAGCCTCATTGGATACTCTATCAAGATCAAATTGATAACCCTTTCCAGTCATGTAATCCTTGATATAATTAGCACATTCTTCTGGAATTCTATTCCATGGGCTTAAATTATTGGCCTCCACAGCAAATCTCCAACTTGTACACTGCAATTGTAACTCTTCTATAAGACATTCTTTCAACTGGGTGTTTGGGTATTCAAGGATCAAAGTCATCAGAAAGATTTTAGAATTGACGGTTTCTTGAGGAAAGGCAAAGGAAAAAATTGACAAGAAAGTAATAATAAATTTAAAGAAACACATCGTGGAACAAAAAATATGCTAGAATTCCAAGAATGTGATGTTATACTTTTCAAAGGTCAAGGAATATGACGTAAAATGAAGGACTGGCGTGATGCTTTTCTTGTTCCAGGCAAGAATCATTAATCCTTTTTCTGTATTTATTGCACCAACTCGCAAATCGTGCAAGGAAAGTAATAGAATTAATGAGGGTATCATAAAATATATATTTGTATGTACGTAAATATATTATGCATGCATGCGTGCGTTGAATGTTGTCATCATGTAGGAAAAATCAACAAAGTTGTCGTTTTTTGTCAAGTAATTAGATAGTTTCTTTTGGTCTGGATGGCCGTTAAGTTGGTTAGGTAATGTCATTTTTTTGTAGTGGCGGTGGAATGGTTAAGATGAGAGTCAAGTCGAGACAAATATCTGAACTTTTCTTCAACGTTTTTTTAAGAATTGCAATGGATATGTCGCCGGAATTGTCTTTGTGCAAATGAGAATAGCTTAGATTATTTATGAATAACAATCTCCTTTTATTATGGATGTTCTAACGTGTAACTAAATATGGAGCTTCTACATTTTACATAAAATCAACTTTTTCATTTTGTTTAGGCCTTCTTCATTTCCATCACGAACATACTGAATTTCCCAATGCTGAGGCAAACTAGATCAGCCTTGACCCAAGGCAAACTAGGCCGCTGCCTTGGCCCTCATTATTTCAAGGGGCCTACAAAATAAAAAGCTTTGATCAAAAGCCTAACAAGATCTAGGGGCGTGTCTGGTGGCGCTAGGTATCAAAATTTCAACCGTTGAAAAATCAAAAAATGGATCATTGTTGCGTTTCTTAATGGACAAAATCTGACACCTTTGTAGTTGAGGGACAGTCCATTTACACCCCTTTTCCAATTTTACCCCTTTGCAGTAGAGAACCTTGAGACTTTGCAATTTTTTGTCAAGTAATTAGATAGTTTCTTTTGGTCTGGATGGCCGTTAAGTTGGTTAGGTAATGTCATTTTTTTGTAGTGGCGGTGGAATGGTTAAGATGAGAGTCAAGTCGAGACAAATATCTGAACTTTTCTTCGGCGTGTTTTTAAGAATTGCAATGGATATGTCGTCGGAATTGTCTTTGTGCAAATGAGAATAGCTTAGATTATTTATGAATAACAATCTCCTTTTATTATGGATGTTCTAACGTGTAACTAAATATGGAGTTTCTACATTTTACATACAATCAACTTCTTCATTTTGTTTACTAAGCCTTCTTCATTTCCATCACGAACATACTGAATTTCCCAATGCTGAGGCAAACTAGGTCAGCCCTGGCCTAAGGCAATTATTTCAAGGGGCCTACAAAATAAAAAGCTTTGATCAAAAGCCTAACAGAAGATCTAAATTAGAAGTAATTCTATATTACTTTTTTTATTTGATGCTAACATAGAAACTTTTTCAAAACAAATTTGGCCTTACTGTAGGGAAAGCAGATCTGGCATCATTAAATTAAGCATCAAATGTCTGTTTAAGATTTAATTTTTTTTTTTAATAAAGAAAAATGCTCAAACAGGAATTATTAGGATTTAACTAAGACTTTAACATGAATTTTAAGTGATAGCTGTGGATAATAATTATTCCAAAAGAAAGATAGCTGTGCACAAATCCTTTCATTGAAATAAGATAAGAATTAGAACATAAGGTGACTACCGAGAGCCTCAAAATAATTAATCGTCTAGGACCTCAAAATTTTCCGGATCGATCAACCATGGCCTAACTTCACCACAATCTAATCTCATTTTAGGAGCATTGCTTTATAAAGAATATTTCATGATGCACATGCATGGAATCACGTTTGACAAAAAAAACTTAATTCATGGGAGCCAAGAGGTGAAGTGTAGAAATCGTTGAACTCCCCCTCGATTCAACCTTATCCATTGGTAAAAATTAGTTGTATGCCTTTTCATCTAAAATAGCCTATGTTTGACACATATTTATAAACGCTTCACTCTTACCAAATGAAATTCATCTGATTGAATATTAAAAAAAAAATCAGAGAAGTGTTGCCATAAGAACAATAATAACTTGTTCTTCGTAAAATAATGAAGGTATAAGAAGAAAAAAGAGGAGAAAAAGATAAGTTTTTTATTCACACATGAAGTGTTACATGGTTGGAGATTTTATACAATCAATCATACATCACCAAGACAATTTTTCAATGTTTCAAATCTTCCTTTAGGCAAAGTTTTTGTTAGAATGTCAGCATACTGATCTTCAGAATTGCAATGCTTTAGCTTCACTTCTTTCCTTTCTTGTGCTTCCTTGATTGAGTGATATTTAATATTGATATGTTTAGTCCTTCCATGAAATCACCGGATTTTTTACCATGGCAACAGCTGATTGTTGCCAAAGTTTGTTTATGCTTCAGATCTTCCATCACTTTCCCGAGCCAGATTGCTTGATTTGTAGCCTCAGATGCATCCATGTACTCTGCTTCAGTTGTTGATTGAGCCATGGTTTTTTGCTTGATAGAATTCCAGCAAACAATGCTTGAACCAACATAAAACACACAGCTAGAGGTGCTCTTCATGTCATCAATTGATCCAGCCCAATCACTGTTAGTAAAACGGGTTAAAAATAGAGTTCCTGATTTCCTGAAATTGATTTCCATCTCATCCGTTCCTTTAACATATCTCAGCACTCTCTTAGCAGCTTGTAAATGATTTACACTTGGTTCTTGTCTGAATCTAGATAACATATTTACAGCAAACATGATATCAGGTCTTGTTGCTGTTAAATAGAGCAAGCAACCAACCAAACTTATGTAAATTTTTTCATCTATTTTCGTGGCTCCATCTTCTTTCATCAACTTCAAATTCAGAACCAAAAGGAGTGTTAACTGACTTACAATTCTCCATGTTGAACTTCCTTAGCATATCTTCTTCGGCAAACAAAGATTCCATCTTGTGATTGTTCAATCTCCATTCCAAGGAAGTACTTCATTTCTCCCAAGTCAGTCATTTCAAACACTTTCTTCATTTCATCTTTCATGTTTTCAATCAGTGCAGCATTGCCGCCTCAACATATACAGATATGATGATCAATTCCTCCTCCTCTTGCTTTATGTAGAGTGTTTGCTCATTTATGCTTTTGATGAAACCAAAGCTGCCTAAGTAATCATCTATTCTGCTATACCAGGTCCTTGGAGCCTGCTTTAAACCGTATAGTACTTTCCTCAACAAATACACTTTAACCTCATTTCCAGCTATAGGGAAGCCTTTTGGTTGCTCAATGAAAATTTCTTCATTTAAGTGTCCGTTTAGAAAGGCTGATTTTACATCCAACTGATATATCTTCTAGCCTTTTTGAGTAGCTATAACAAACAACATCCTTATTGTTTCAAACTTGGTCACTGGAGCAAATGTATCAGTAAAGTCAATGCCATATTGCTGAGCATAACCTTTTACAACTAGCCTGGCCTTAAGTTTGTTAATAGAACCATCAGCATGCAGCTTGGTTCTATACACTCACTTAACTCCAATTACATTCTTGTTTTTTGGTCTGTTAGCCAGCACCCATGTTCCATTCTTTTCAATCACTTTCAGCTCCTCCTTCATTGTATCTATCCACCCTTGTGAATCAACTGCTTCAGTAAAGTTTGAAGGCTCCAACAGGGCTGAATTATAGGTGGCATAGATATCCTCAAGTGATCTAGTTTTGATCACTTCATTTCTGAATCTGATCCACTGTCAGGTTCAACTTCAACTTCAGCTTCATCTTCATTGATGACAACATCTTATTCATGTAGAAACTGTCTTGGAACCTCCAATTTGTTCACAGTACTTGATTCCCAATTCCGTGAAGAATCTTCATCAATTTTGACATCCATGCTGGACATCATCTTTTTAGTTTGAGGATTATATACCCTATATTCTTTTGCATTTCCACAATAACCAACCAAGACACCAACTTTAGCCTTTTGACTCAGTTTATCCCTTTTTGCATCAGGAATGTGAGTATAACATATGCTTCCAAACACTTTCAGGTGAGCCACATCAGATTTCACTCCATACCATGCTTCATAGGGTGTTTTCTTGTCCAAGGCTTTAGTTGGTAGTTTGTTAAGAAGGCATATGGCTGTGTTCACAGCTTCATCCCAAAATTCCTTTGGTACCTTCTTCTTCAACATCAGACATATGGCCATCTCCATAATTGTTCTATTCTTCCTTTCACAAACTCCATTTTGCTAAGGTGAATAGAGAATAGTCAGCTAATGTTTGATTCTAACTTCATCACAGAATCTGTCAAACTGGCTGCAGGTAGATTCAGTGCCATTATTTGTCCTTACGGCCTTAATCTTACAGTCACTTTCATTCTCTACAAAGCCTTTAATCTTCTGAAAAATTGCTACAACTTCAGGCTTCATTTTTAGAAAATAAACCCAACACATCCTTGTTAGATCATCTATAAAGAGAACAAAATATCTTCTTCCATTTAGAGTTGGCATTCTAATTGGATCACACACATCAGAATGGACTAATTCCAGTTTACTTGAAGCTCTTCTTGACTGAATTTTAGGAAATTGCAACCTGATTTGCTTTCCCAATTAACAAACATCACAAACACAAGTATCATCATTTACTTTTGGCATATTCTCCACAAGTTCTAGTTCATTCAGGTACTTGAGTGAAGTGTAATTAGCATGTCCAAAACATTTATACCACAGGGAAGACTCAATTAAAGTACTGGTAATACTTGAGAGCACGAGGGTTTATATTTTTCCATTCCAAAGGGAAGCTTCTATGTTTCATTTCCACTGTCATTAGCTTAAGATTATTAGGATCCAATATAGTGCAGCTACTGTCCTTAAATATTAAGGTATAATTCTTCTCAATCAACTGTCCAACACTTACCAGATTTTGATCTATATCAGGCACATATAG